CCGGGGGCGCCGCGGCGGGGCGGGACGGGACGGCGGCGCCCGCGCAGCTGCCCGGCCACACTCACCGGAGGGCTTGGCCACGGCGCTGGGGCGGCGCGCGGCCGCGGGCTTCGGGCGGTTCATCCTGGGCGGCGGCGGCGCCCCTTCGGCTTGCCGCTCACCGAGCCGCCGCCGGTGCCACTTCAGGGACGAGGAGGCGCGGAAGGGAAGCCGGAACCGGAAGTCGGGCTGACCTTGGGACCGGAAGCAAAACACGGCCTGGGCGCGCGGGCGGGAGAGGCACCCGCTCCTTCCGCAGGCGCGCGCGGCGCAGCGCCCCCTCCCGGCCGGAATGGCCGCCCAGCTCGCAACGGCCGCTGGCGGGAGGCGCGCCGCAGCGCCACCTCGCGGCTGCCGCGGGAAGAAGCCGTCCTGGGACGCCTGGCGGGGACGCGGGCAAGCCTTGTGCACGAACAAATGCGCGAGAAGGAAGAAGCGCTGCGCCGGCGGCTCCGGGCTCCGCCACGGGGAAGACGACCGGGGGTCGGGGCCGCGTTTCCCCGGAGCAGGGGCCGGGCTTTCCCCCGCCCTGCAGTCCCGCTCATCCAGCCCTTTCTGCACCGCCCCATCGCCAACTCCTCTCCGGGCGGGTCACGGTTAAAATCATAAACCGCACCACAAAAGCGACAGCTGTGTCGCGGGGAGACACAAGGGCCGGAGATGGCGCACCAGGCGTGCGCAAGGCCCGCGAGGTTCCCCACCCCATAATCCGAAGCCCGCTTGCAAGATCGGGGAGGAAGCCTGACCCAGATTCGATTATGTAAAATGCAGATTTCACCTGATGGTAACAAATTATGTTCAATTGGTTTCGGTCCTCCTCATTTTTGATCCTATATTATACTGATTTATTGTATTTACTGAACATCTTCCTTAATTTTAGTGGTTGATTTTTTCATTGTTTGCTAGTTCTATTCTAATATCGTGCATTTTACGGCGCAGTAAGCCTCCCAGAACGCCGACCTGCATTTCCTTTCGTACTGTCTCCTACAGACATTTTTCCAAGCTTTGTACTGCATGTTAAGTACGTTATTATTGGGAAGTATGTAAGAAGGCACGGGAAGACAGCTTTCTCCAGAGAATCACAGCAGATCAGCTTCAACTTTTGTACTTTATTTTAGTTTGGCACAGAAACTGGGGGGCAGGGGGATCAAGCAGATACAATTATTTTAAAAATTCCAAAGAGGCACAAATCCAATTCCCCTGACCCCCTTTTCCCGAAGCACAAGCACGTCTGGCAAATGTATGGCAGCAGGTTTTGGCCACAGGCGGCGTGTCCCTCAGCGATGGCAAGCCACGGGCGAACGACAGTAACAGCAGGGCGCTGAGGGCCTGGGCAGGCTGGCAGGAGGCGCCCTGCCGCGGGGGGCACGGCAGCCACGGCCCACGGGCGCTTCGAGGCCGCCCCCGCCGCTGGGGTGCACTGCGGCACGCACGGCCCGGCTCCTGTGCTTGGGGTGCACGCCCGGCCGAGGGAGCCCGGCCCCCTCGGGAGCGCCACAAGGTCCTTGGAAACCCAAATGCACATTCCAACAGGACGAATGAAGCGTGGTTTCCCAACCCGCACCCCAGCTTAGCAGACGTCTCGGAGGCCGGGAAGGCGAGCACGGAATGCTTGCCTTGTGGATCGCGGGGCTGCAGGGAGGAGGCAGCGGCAGGCTCCGGGTACGGCTAGTGCCACCGAGGGCGACTTCCCCGTGCAGTGCAGTGCCCTGCAGACATTCACAGTGCGGGTGAGCTCAGGGCCGGGCCGAGGGCCCTGGCAACGCATCCGGATGCCCCTGAAGCGGCACGGGGGCCGCTGGGCGAGCGTCTCTCCAAAATCCTGCACTGCCTGGTGCGAAGCGAGGATTGTCCCCTCCCAGCCTCTGGGGCCTGCCATGAAAAGGGTCTTGAGACAAACTTCTCCGATCATGCAGAGCGGCGGAGCGGGACGGTCCCACCCTGGGGGGCACTAGGACTGCAAGGACGGACGACCCCTCGGCTACCCAAAGACGCGACTCGCCCTCTACCCCGGTTCACGGCAGCTGAGCCCGGGAGCCGAGCTGCCCTATTTGGTTATGTGCCGTCTGAGCAAACCTCCTCTGTCACAAATAAAAAAACCTTCCATCACAACTAGAGCAGCATTTTTTTGCAGGGGGGGCGGGAGCTCAAGTTGCCCCTGCGGTTTTTATCAAGGAGTGGCAGAATGTGGCACGAGCCTTCGTTTCTTGAGACATTCAGACGCTCCTGAGGGAGCTGGGCAGAACTCCAGGTTGCAGACGGAGGGATTTCTGCCGTGAGGCCACAGTCCTACGCTGCGCGAGCAACCTTGGACCACGTGTGGCCAGGCCTCCGTCCTCCTCAGAAGGCGGCCGAAATGTGCCCACAGTGACCCCTCTGCTCGGCAGGCAGCTTGGCTCTCCCGGACTCGTGCCTGACCCACCGCCCCTGCCTGGTCAGAGGTGCTGCACTGCCCGTCTGTCCCAGCCGAAGGGCCCGCTCCAGCAAAAAGCCCCCTGGCTGAGATGAAGCCCCCGCGGTGCGCGAGGCCCCGGGGTGCCAGTGGGTGTTCCCGGAAGGCACACGCCGGGGCTTGGTCTTTCCTCAACCTCGCTAACTCCGATCCTTTGAAATGGAAACGCCCGGGGCGGGTCTCGGGGTGCGGCGCATGCACTGGCCCCCACGCCTCCTGCCGCTGTGGAGGCGCCGCAGGGGAAGCGAGAGGCTTGTCGCCATCCAGCACCCCCACAGAAAATGACTCTCTTGCATGCTCGGGAACGCGAAGGCAGGGAGCGCGGCTGAGAGGCCCCTTCTGGCGAAACTGCGACGCACCATCGACACGCAGGAAGGGGCACGGGACGGCGAGCGGCGTGCGAGGGGCTCTCACCGAGCAAGGCGCAGAGGTGAGAGGCGAGTTTCTGGGCGGAGAGGCGTCGGAAACGGGAGTGGCGGGGTGAGAGCCCCCAGTCCGTTCCCGAGCAGAGGCCAAGAGGAGGCGGTGGGACAGCCACGGGGACCTTCCAGGCTGCCGCGACCCCCTGGAGGCTCCGCACAGGCAGCGGCCGATCTGCTCACCGCGATGCAGCCACGGGCGCCGGAGGAGAGGACGGTTGCCCGCTCACATCCATCGCACAGAGAATCCTTGGCTGAGGGGGAGCTGCAGGTCGCTCATGGTGAGAACCTAGGAGGACCGGGAAAGGGAGGGCGGTGACCGGCTGGGATCACGTCTGTTGCTAGTGCCTTAGGCCCCACTGCTCCAACCCTTGCCGTTCCACAAATCCTGGCCAACCTCAGCCCCGGCTCATCAGTATACCGAATTCTAGGTGCAAACACAGAAAAGGCCCCGCTCCTTGCTCTTGCTGGCTGTACCATTGGCCAACTGGTTACCTGGTTTGTCAGATAGGTGAATGGCCTTTCCTTGCCGTTGACAGTAACTGTTTTTGGCTCATCCTGAACCCCACAGACCGTCAGTGTATTGATGGTGATGTAGGTGGCTTCCACGTTCGAATGAAGGACAGTAGAAGTGAAGATATTCTGAAAGGAAGAGATAAGGGGGCAAGTCCATGATTCTTCCTTGGCCGGGGTGCTAAAACTTGGCAGAGTCTGTCTGGATGCTCTGGCCTGCCTTCTACGTGGCTTCTCTGGTGTGCTTGACCTCCTCCCCTTCCAAAATAGCTAACAGGGCAATTCCTTCCCCATTTTCCCAGCCCTTGCCCACAAACACCACATATTCATTCAGGTAAGCACAAGAGCCACCTTGGCCGAGGACACTCCCAGCACGCAGAAAAGGAACTGCCCAGAGAATGAAACACACTCCTGCGTTTTCCTGCCACTCTCCTCATCCTCCTTCTCATCAGAAAAAGAAGCTGATTGAGGAGAAGGTGGAACGGCTGCTCAGCAGCTTGTGATTTCTGCCTGAAAGCCGACTGCCAGCCTCCATGTCCCTTCCTTTAATCTCTCGTCTCCCTTGGGGTGAATTTTAGATTGTGGGCTCATCTGGGCAGGGGCCTTTCCTCTTAAACTTGGTAGAGGGCCAGATTCTGTCACAATGGTGCCGGGGACAATAGCAGCGCCCAGCTGCTGAGCAGGGGCAGTGCTGAGCACCTTCTGCGGCGACACAGAAGGCAGGAGTGCAGCAGCCGCCCTGCGTCCTCCCTCGTCCCTGTGCCTCCCTTTCATCCGGCCGGCCTGGGGCCCCAAGCAGGGCGATGAGGAACACCAGGGGAAGGCAACATGCTGCAGGCCGCTGCTCGAAGGGCCCTCCTCCTGACTGAAGAGGATGATGCCGCAGGGAAGGCCACACGCTCTGCCTCGGGTGCTTGAGACTCGGAGGGGCAGGCTGCGGGGTCTCACGGGCGGATTCCGCACGCATCCCGCCTCAGGAGAGACCTGGACCACACGTCTTCCTCACACTGCGCACGGCAACTTCTCGGGGACGGTGGCGCAGACGCACCTCTCGAGAGCACCTCTTGCTGGGTCAGGGCAAAGGCCTCGCCAGGCCAGCCGTCTCCTCCCACATGGCCAGCCAGGTACTCCACCAAGGGGAAGCCGGCAAAGGTGGGACAGGACCGCAGCAGGACCCCCCACCCCTGTTCCTCAGTTGCTGGCACTGGGAGGAATTTTTGCTCTTCACGCGCGGTTTTGATTCTTCTATCCTGTTTAAATGTTTTGCTGCTCTGGAATCTGCCTGAATATGGAATGGGGGGCAAATCATCTCCATTTTGCTGTCAGTACCTGGAGGTACCATTCAGCCATTGCAGCTAAGACCCACTGACAAGTTTATTCGGGAGTTTCTGTAATTCCATTCCTGTGCCAACTGCCCAGCTTCCAAGTGGGTCACAAACGGCGAAGAAGCTCTTTGTACCTGCGTGACGTTGAACACGAGGTAAGAATAGTTGCCCTTTGCAAAGGAGTCCAGGCTGTCGCCATCGTCCCAGTAAAGGTCTCCCCAGGCGTTCACGTCCCGCGACAAGGCAGCAATCAGGCGCAGAGGGTTCCTGCGGCTCGTCCAGGTACTGCCTCCGGGTTTCTGAGCGAAAAAGTGAGACGCCCATGAGCCTGCGGTCTGCGAAGGGCCACCTTTCCACTGAGGGAGCGAGAGGAATGGGGCGAGTTCCGTGCAAAACCCACAGCGGGGCCAGAAAACCGGGGCCACGTCACGGAGGCCTGGGTTAAATATCCCGGACTGTGGTCAGGACTGTGTCCTGGGCTCCTTGAAGGTGGTCCTGGGAGAAATGTAAGAAACATTAAGCTGAGCTGTGAGGAAGCTGCTGCGCCGTCTGTAAGTGGGCCCCATGTTTGACTCATGGCGGGCCACACGGCTGCGATTCACGGGGGACTTCCAACCGCGCAAAGCACTCGGTTTTTGATCTCGCCATGACACAGGGCGTGATCCTGCAAGCGGGGGACGTGTCATGGCTATTCAGGAGCCCTTGCCGAGGGCGCTTCAGCGGGGCTGCTGGGAGGGGGGTCACAAAGCGGGTGGCGAAAATGAGCGGCCTCACCTGGGTGGGCAGGATGGTGCCTTCACGCACGTGCAGGTTGATGTGGTCCAGCGGTGCGGCCATTTTCAGGCTCTCCCCACTGCTGTTCACCGGGGTGCCCTGTGCGGGGGCAGGAAGAGGCTGCGAGAGGAGGGCCACTGACCCCCCTCCGCCCAGGCACAGTCGGGGTGCCCCGGAGGAGGGAGCAGGGTTATTTATGTTGTTCGGCAATGGTGCAATTAGCCAGGAAGTCTGCAGTGCTGATGCAGAGCGTTCTGGCCGCCCGAGATGGCCGGCCCTTTGGTTCATGCTTGCGTGCTATGCACTGTGCCGGGAGAGGGTGGGCGTGCAAAGCCGCCTCGCTGGGCGGAGCGCAGTGCCTGGCTCTGCGGTCGTCTGCAGCGGCCCTTTCGGGCCCCTCCGGAAAGCAGCGCTGCTGCCTCTCCCCCGGCAGCTCCGGAAAAGGGCCCAGGAGAGCGGCGAGCTGGGCCGATTCAGCCCACCGGCCGCTGCCCAGCTCAGATCGACAGCGGGGGCTTCAGGGAGCCCAGCGAGTCCAGCCCAGGAAACCCCCAACCACCCCGAGGAGAGAGAGGCTCAGGTGACGCCGCCCCGCCGCACACCTGCTGCTCAAGGGGCACAGGTCTGGAGAGAAGCCCGCCCCACAGAGCCTTAGGGCACTCGCTGGACCCACCCCCACCCTCTGGTACGTCGTTTTCACGCTTGGGGTGGTAGCACAAAACTGGGGCAGCGGTTTGGAGGAGACCCCCCGGGTGCGTGCACAGTTGACACGCCCAGAAGCCATGGCGATCGGAGCGGAGAAAGCAACGCATCGGGCCCCGTCTACAGGCCCAGCCTTACCGTGTAGTAGTCATACCACACGCCTCTGGGGAAGTAGCCGATCACAGAATCCGCGCCGGCTTCCAGCACCGGTGTCACCAGGAGGCCCCGTCCCCAGAGAAACTGCTTCTCTATGGAGTAAGTGGCCACGTCCTCGGGGAACCTGGAACGGGGAAAGGGGCGACCGTGCCGTGAGCGCCAGGGCCGGCCGGCCCACAGCTAGCCGGAGCATCCTGGACGACCCTGGCCCAAAGTCCCACTCCATTGACAGGTCCCTGTGGACAAGGAACACCTGGGCCCAGGTGAAGTCCTGTGCTAAGTGGCCCACAGCTTTCCTCTGGCCGGTGCAGGGAGCTGTTGCCCCGGGCGTTCCATCCAGCAATTGAGAAAAGCCCAGCAGGACCCGCCGAAGCCACGAGAAGCAGAGCCAGACCCCTGGGCCATTCCCCACTCCCTGTCTTCCCTCCGATTCCGGCCCGGGCAGCCTTTGACCAGACAGAACAGGGACCGAACCAGGGAGGGGACTGGCTGCTGCGCCACAGTTTCCTTCGCATGGCTTTGGGAGACGGGGGCTTCCCATGGAGGGGAAAAGGCAGGAAGGCATCAGCTGCCCCAGAGGACTCTCCATCTCCACTGGAGAAAGCATTTCTGTTCAGCCCCATGTCTCAAGCCGAGGTCTCCCTCAGAGTCGCTCTTGAGCAAGGTTTAGTTCTGGCTTCTTTGCATTTCCAAACAGCATGAAAAGAAGAGGACTGAACACCTCAGTTCAAAGGTACACTGGGCTCAATACAAATATTTCCTCTTGTGGGCCTGGAAGAGAATGACTTCCTCCCTCCCTCCCTCCCTCCCTCCCTCCCTCGAAATTCCTGGAAGTGCAGAGTTACTCCATGGGCTGGGAAGGGATGACAAACCTCCAGTGCAGCGCCGGAGGGGCTCCTCCTCCGGCTAGCGGCCTTGCGGCAACCAGCCAGGGAAACTGCAGGGGTCTTGGCAGGGGTGAGGCGAGATCTTTTGCCTCGTCTTGCCACTGAATTGGGCCTGATCCACGCTCACCTGCGATCGGTTCCCAGAGCCAGCACAAGCTGAGGAAGCGACTTACTCGAAAAACAAAGGCCGGGCCACGGTGTACCCCTGCAAGTGAGCCCGATGGAAGAGGGAATAGAGGAACGGCAGAAGGGCATAGCGGACCTCCAGCGCCTCCTTCATGGCAGTCCGGGCTGCTGGGCTGAAGGCGGAGGGGTCCTGCGCCTGGCGAGGGGACAAAGAGCAGCCTGAGGGGGGGCAAGCCGGGCCTGCCCCCGATTTCCCCCAGCTTGCGTCCCCGCGGGGAAGCCGGTCAGTGTGGACATAGCGATTCGTCCAGGAGTGGCTGAACTCTTGGGAGTGAGGCGGAAGGACAATGAAAAAATACATGAATTGGAATGGCCCCATTTCCCCTCCACCCCCGAGAGGCTCCATGTCACAAATCTGCAGTCAGAAGGCACAGGCAGAGTGACGGAGCAGCACTCTTCGGAAGGCAGGCCTTCGCTTGATCCCCGGACGGGGAACCTCTGCCCCCTCCAGAAATGGCTGGACTGCAGTCCCCATCGCCTTTCATCACTGGCCCTGCCAGCCAGGGCCGATGGAAGTTGAAGTCCAAGATCTTCTGCAGGCCTCACTCCTCCAGTTCTGATCTTAATGTGCTTCCGTTCACAAAAACCCCTTCCAAAGCGTGTGTTGCACAGGAGGAAGCACGGGCTGGGGTGGACCGACGTGCACCGAGGCCCACGGACTCGCACGCCTCCCACCGGCCTCACCTTCTCATTCTGGGTGTTGTGGTTCCGTGAGAAGGGGTAGAAGGCCCCCAGCTGCATCCAGCGGGTGCACAGCTCCTCCGAGGTGGCGCCAGAGAAGCCGCAGATGTCGGCCCCGACCAAGGGGATGCCGAAGAGGCTGAAGCTCAGCAGCCCTGAGGAAGCAAGCGGACGGGGCGTGAGCCGGGGGCCAGGCTGCTTGGGCGCGTCCCCGGCAGCTGCCATGCTGAGCACACCCACCTGGGATGGACCAGGCCATGTCCTTCCAGTCACTCTTGTTGTCACCGAGCCAGTGTCCGGAATACCTGCCCTGGCTGGGAAAGGTGGAACGCGAGATCACCAAGGGCCGCTTCCCCCGGATGCTGGTCAGGGCACTGAAAGATAGGAGGACCCAGCCGATTACAGCAGAAGGAGAAAAGGCACTGACTTGCTTAAATGGGCCTTTGGACCCCCGGCACGGAGCAGGGAAGGGGTGCCAGCCACCCGGAGCCTGGCAAGCGTTCCCACCGAGCAGCTGCTCCCGCGCGTGGCCTCACCTTGCTGTGGCCTTGGCTTCCATCAGCCCGTAGAGGTTGTGGAGGTTGTAGTGCGTGGAGGCGCTTTGCCTGGCCGAGGGACAGATGGTCTTGGAGTACAGGGAGCCTCCCAGTACGGCTGACGGGAAGAGCGAAAGGCCAGTCAGGAGAGGGGGCGCACGGGACGGGCAATCGCGTCTGTTTGGCAAATGGGGCGACGGCCGCGTCGCGCAGGATTCAGCCGCCAGCAACCGTTCCTCATGCTCGCTCGCTCGCTCGCATGCACGTGCGAGGCCAGCTGGTGACGTGCCAGTGGAGCAGAGGCCACGCGCGTGCATGCTGGCCCTCACACGCAGCGGGCCCCTGGAGCCCGCTTGCCCACGGGCAGAGTCTGTGCCCAGGCAGAGGCACAGGCGCCGGGTGGGGGGCGAGCGGGGAGGGCTGAGCCCGGCAGCCATGGGTGTCTTCACAACACTTGTGCCCCAGGCCGTGCGTCCCCAGGCAGGACGGAGTTCAGACACATGTCCTGGCAGAACGGACAAAGGAACACGGAAGAGACCCGATGCTTGTCCGGGATGGAACAGCAAAGCCGCCGGGGGGGGGGGGGGGGGGGGGGCTGCTAGCCACAGGCAGTACTCAGAGCCATTGCAGCCACACAGCTGGGCGGCTGCCCTGGCTCCGTGAGCCTGCATGTCAAGCAAGATCAGACCAGGAGGGGGTGCTGCTCGCAGCGTGTGACGACTGAGGAGGGCGTCACTTGGGAAGCACGAGAATTTCGGAAGTCCTGCAAACACCCCGTTTGCAGCGCCAAACCTGCATGTTGGCAGCAGCCTAATTCTCAGAAATTTGTCTCGATTTCCTGATCTTGCGCTCCTGTTCAAAATGTGCAACGCACCAGCTAGCTTCTCCAACTGTTTGCTCTGCCCCTCCCATAACCACAGTTTCTTGCTTTGGCTTGGGAGGGGTGCTGCGTATTTTGGGGGTGCACTCGGGAAACGTGCAGGCTTGGAGTTGGAAAAAAGGGATGCGCGTCTTGGAGGGTCAGCTGGGTGGGGCCGGCTGGCAGTTTGGAGAGTTTTTCTGTCTAAGCAAGTGTAGGCTTGGGCCCCAATTTGTACTTCAGTGGGGAAAGGGGAGTCTGCATGCAGACCTGGCGGACTCTGCAGAGAAGGGTCATCTCTTCCTCCTTACCAGGGACGTACGGCGGGTTATCAAGTTCTCCCTGGGAACAGCCTTCGGACGAGCCGTCCCTGAAGTTGGAGGGTTCGTTCATGTCCTAAAGCAGAGAGAGCTCAATGGGATGGTCCTGGCCACCGAGAGCACAGTGTCTCCCGTGGGCGAGGCCCAGCCACCTGAAGCCTGCGGGGCTGTCCTAGGCAGGCCCTGGGTTCTCGGTTCAGGGTGCACCAAGAGTGATGTTCAAACCCTACCAGCCTCGAGCTCCCCGCTGGGACAGAGGGTACTCGCCACTCAGAAAGGTCACATTCTCAGGCAAGTGCCCAGAACCCCTCTGCCGGCCACCCTCCACCTGGGGCTTCCCAGACCTCTTGGACGGCAACCCTCATCGTTCCCAGAAAGCACGGCCAATGCTCAGAGACGCTGCCTGGGGATCACGTGAACACAAGTCCCAAGCGTCAGGATGGCTCCGGGGGGAAATACATTAAACCTGAGCTGAAAGATGGCACGGCCCCGTCTGGAGAGGCCCAGCTCCCAACGGGTCAATGTTATGCAGTTCATACATCAAGGAACGCTCAGGAGCCACTTACGATCCAGAGCCCGTCAAAGGGGACGACCGAGTGGAGGCTCCTCAAGTTCTCCAGCCACCACTGGTGGGTGTCTGGGTTAGAGAAGTCAGGGTAGGCGGTGAGGCCAGGCCAGACCTGAGGAGAGCAGAAAAACCGCACGGGTAGCACACAGAAGGCGCTGGCAGCCTGCACAGATCCCACTGTGGTGGCTGCGGACAATGGGAGTTGTAGCCATCTAGTGCACCCAGAGGGCACCAAGCTGGAAAGACAGAGAGCATGAACGATGCTCTCACTGAAATGGGAGCCTTCAAGGTTGACCTGCTGATCGTCCATTCATGCCTTTCCCCCGTGTTTATCCTGTTTCTGTAGCTTTTAGAGGAGATTTCTGCATGCATTAAAATCTAAGCAATAACACAGGGAGGCCTCTGCTTGGCCCTCACCTCCCCGATCAGGGGTGTCCCCCGGGTGCTCTCGATGAAGATGCCACGCTTCACGCCTTCATCGTACGGCCAGTAAGAGCCAGGCGGGCACGTGCTGCTGATCCCAGGGTCCTGGGAGAAAGAGAAACGGGGTCAGCCAGGCATGCTGGAGCCACTGGCCAGGACCCAAAGGACTCTCGGTGCGGGAGGCCCCTGGAGACCCACGGACCGCTGAGCAGCTCACAGAAATGAGCCCCCCCAGCACACACACATTCTTACCATCCTACTTGGGTAGTGGGGGGGGGGCAGGGAGCCCCCAGCCCTCACCCTGGTGGCCTCTCTGGGGCAGAAGGAGTGCAGACACTGTTCTGGCCAGAAGCCCTTTAATTCGAAGGGCGTCTGCTGCAGCCCCACCGAGGCCCTGTTGTGCACTGGCTCTGCCCCTGCACCAGAGGGCTTTCAGCGAGCCTCCCGTGAGCCTGAGCCCTGCCGCCCTCCCTGCAGGGAAAGCACTGAAAGTCCCCTCTGCCAAGTAAGCGGGGAAAGCGGAGGGCTACCCCGGCCCTTCGCATCCGAGTCGCCCTACTGACATCACAGTGCCCTATGGTGCCGATGAGCTGACCCACTGTTCCCCCAGCAAGCCTCCCGTGCGTCTGAACAGCCGTGCGACAGGCGGAAGCGTGGCCAGAGGAACGTTGGCCGGCAGAACTGCCGCTCGCCTCGTTGCCACCTCAGCGCCTCTGTCCCGAGAGTTCGCGGCAACGATTGCAAGGGCCGCTGCAGCTTGCTCAATTGCAAACTTGCAACGCAATTGGAAAAGGGCACAGGAGTGGCTGCAAAGGGGAAACGGAGAGGTAGCCACAAGCCCCCATCCCTCTCCTGGCAGGGAGGAGGAATTGATTAAGAGACGAGTCGGGGCCATGCAGGGAAAAGGAGGACACGGGCTGGAGGCGTGATTCCACGCCAGGCCTCTGCCTCCCAGCACAGCCAGCCGAGGGCATGCTGGGAGCTGGAGGCCCTTTTCGCTGCCTAAGGACACACAGGATACGCCCTCAAGCAGGTTTCCCAAGCCGGGAGCCACTAAACATGTTGGACCACAACCTTCACCTGGCTGAGGGCGATGGGAGTGCAGTGCAACACACCTGGAGGAACTTAGAGGGGGCCAGAAGGACTCAAGAACCAGGAGGCAATTTAAAAGGACCGCGCGAGGAGGAACCCACAAGATACACAACACCCCTGCAAAGCAGGACTTGCATCCAAGTGCACAGGCTCCTGCCTGCGGAGGGCAGGTTCTGCTAGAATTTTACGGATCCAGGGGTGAGGGCAGCATAACTTACTTAGCACCACTCAGAACCTGTTTCGATGCTGCTTGCGCATGGCCAAAAACCCCCACTTTTGATTAAAGCAGAAGCGGAGTGGAGGGATTTCCCTTTCCCAGTTTGCCTTTGTCAAGTGGAAAGTTTATTTTGGAACGGAGTGGGAGACGAGCAAGGAGGACACCCCCACGAAACCCCCCTACCAGAATCATCACATAGTATTGCCCATGTCTGTGGAGGTCTTCCACCATCTGGGGGAGAGTGCTGAACTTCTGCGAGTCCACAGTGAAGTCCCGGTAGCCATCCATGTAGTCGATGTCATTCCACTGGGCATCCTGCAAGGAGAAGAGACGGAGAGCACGCTGGGGCCTCTGGAGCCTGCGGCTTGTGCCACGCCCAGCTAGCACGGGCTTCTGGACCACTCGAGTGCTCCCTTTTCCCTCTGCCTGGGGTCGCTCCTGCCCTCTGGACGGGAAGGCCGCTGCCGGGGGCAGACCACAGCTTTGTTGCGGGGCCTGGCGAGCTGCGGCAGCCTCGCTCAGCTCGCTGCCCCGCTGATGCCTTGCGGTGGCTGCCTGGGAATTCGTGGGAGCTGCAGCGACACCTTCCGGAGGGCACACCTGAGCCAAGGTGTCTCCAAACGGGAAACGACAAAGCAGAGGAGGGGAAGGAGGTTTGCCGATACCTCGTGGGCATGTCAGCTCAATGGGACCTCTGGGTGCAGGGACCCTGTGCCTGTGAAAACGCGCTGCTGGGAAAGAATGGCCGAGGGGCGATGGCTCCTGCTGCCTGCTGGGCTCTTCACAGCCCCGGCCAGAGGGCCGGGGATTCACCCTGGGGCCTCCCGAGAGCGCAGCAGGTGCTTCTGCTGCGGAGCTGGCAACCTGCTGCCTTCTGCCTTGCCCCTGGCCCGGAGGCTGCTGCTTGGTTTGCCTTTACCTGGGGTATCTGAAAATTCCTCATGGCTTTCACAGTCTGCCAGGTCTCGTTGCTCGTTCCGTAGCCCCAGCGGCAGAGGTGGAAGCCCAAGCCCCAGAAAGGGGGCATGGCAGGAAAGCCTGAAACACAAGAGCGTGATATGCGGCACGACGGCAGCGTCTGTCCGGGACCGCCCTGCCTCACGCCCCCATCGCCATCTTCCTCCTGTGCCTCTAGCGGCAGCCTGGGGCACACGGAAACGAAGCTCTGCGGGGCTGCTTTTGGCCTGGGGGGCGCTCGTCATCCCCGTCTCTAGAAGGAGTTGTGCAGGTCCTCATTCTTCCTGCCAGCGGCCCCAGTTGAGGCCCAATGCCAGTTACTCACCGATCACCTGTTGGTACTGCTGAACCACCAGGTTGGGGTCTGGTCCCAAAAAGATGTAAAAGTCCAGAACGCCTCCGATGGTCCTCCAGGTGAGGGCAGGTGCGGGCTGCAGCACCACCTCTGAGCAATGAACGGACAAGAGGGGAGGTTTCAAACACGGCCACTCTGGTAATGCCAAGTTGCTACCCGACTGCGATGGAGCACTCCCAGCTTCTACTCTGAGCAACTTTCAGACATGCTTCGCCAGAACAGAAACACAAGCACCCCTCACCACTAACAGTTCTCTGTGCTTGGCCACTGTTGAAGGCAGAAGAGCGGAGGGAGGAAGCAACGCTAGCCAGCTTGGCCAAGCGAGCGGGCTGTGGCCTCTGTGCCCACGTCAAGGGCTTTCCCACTGGAGTGGAGCACGCGGCCTGCACCAATCGATCCACAGGCTGAGATCTTTCCCAAGAGGACAGGCCTGAGCAGTTATCCATTCTCTGCCAGCCCTGTGTGTGTTGCTGGTTGACTCCGAGAGTCCTGGCTCTCAGCACCTCCAGGAAGAGGTGTGAAGAGGCCCCTTGGCCTCCCAGTCCCTGCCTGCTCTCACCTCAAGGAAGCACTTGTTGTCCAGAGCCCCAAAGACCCACGGCGGTCCCTGCTTCCCTCCCTCTTCAGGACTTTCTGATACAACAGGCCTGCCTCAGCAATCCTGCCTGCTTTTGGCTAAACGGAAGCTGGAAAGAAGCTTCCAGTTGAGTCTGGAAACCTGTCTGTCTCCCTCTTTCCCTCCCCGTCTGGCAGCCACTCCTGTTCTCGCCATATAATCAAAAGACCAGAGATCTGAGAGAGGTCAGGAAAAAGCAGATGAGCAGGAGGGTGCCAAGCAGCTGTCCCTGGAGCTCACAAGCCAGCAGCTGCAGCGTGCGGTTAAACCGCTCGGCAGTTGCTAAAGAGCCCGTCTCAAGCCAGGAAACAGATGTCTGAGCTCCAGAAAGAGCTCCCAAAACCACACGGTAACCCTCCAGCTACATCCTGACCCCAGGTTCCTCAAGTAAAGACTCAGGTCAGCTTCTCGCATGTCTAAAATCCATGCAATTCCCTGAAAAGCAAGAGCAGATGTGTCCATGAGAACTTTTTTATTTTATTCATTTTTTAATGGAGTTGGAACTCACTTTCAAGCTCCTTGGTGAAAGAAAAGAGCAAGAAAGCCGTTTTTAAAAACACTCAGGTTGGGAGAGGTCTAAGAAGTGTGGAATACGTAAATGTGGGAAGTTTGTTTTTTAAAACGAAAAATATTAGATTGAAATTTGATTTGGCCAACTTTCCATCTGGAGCACTCCTACAATGGACACCCTTTGATACCCACCACTTATTTCAAATCCTAAATGAGTAGCTGAGGCAGGCTGAATCCAGCAGTTCCCTTATTTCCATACAGCGCCCTGATCAGTCACGTCCTGTGGCCAGGAATGAGGCCAGTGGTGTCCCAACCACGGCGAGAGCCCCGCTGCCTCCCTGCTCAGCCCTGGAAGGACCGACAGGCTTCCTAGCAAGGCAAACCCCAGCCCAGCCACCCTGCTGCTTGCCTTCTCCCTGCCTGAGCACAGTGGCCAGACCAGGCTCTGCAGAGGAGGCTGCAGGTTCAGTCGCTGGCGTCTTGAAGGGACGGCTAAGAGAAACACCTGCCTGAAACGCCAGAGAGCCATGCCTGCCTGCCAGAGTGGGTAATACCGGGTTAGATGGACCCAGGGTCTGAGCAGTTTACAGCAGCCTCCGCTCACTCCCATTTGCCAGAGTTTCAGGTGGACTTCTCTACCTTTCAAGAAACTTAAGTTGCACATGAACGCTTGCTTGGATTATTCATTGCTTCATTTAAACCCCCTCCTTTTCTTTACAACTGCAAAGCTGCTCTGGAAACAGCGCGAAAGAGGTTCCTTGGAGATATCAGGGGGAACGAGCCAGTTGGCACGGCGCATGGCCGGCGCCTGAGAGGGCGAGCATGTCTCAGAGTGCGTGTGGAAGAAATGTGATTGGACTGATTGGGGCAGGGGTCTTTTCAGGACCCACTGACAGCCCTAAACATGTCACATCTGTCTTGCACTCAGCCCACCCACTTGCCAGCAGCTCGATGGAAGGGCAGAGCTTTCTTTGCCTCGCTCTCCCAACCCAGTTCACCAAAAGCCATGGGGAGCATACGCACCTGGCCAACACAAGTTCACCCGACACGCGGACACGCACACAGCCCCACACGAAATGCCCCCAAAGGCGGAAGGAGATACACACCCATGGCATTACTATTCAAGAGGAACACCCCATGGGCAGCTCCACCGTCCTCCATGATCAGATAAAACGGGTGAACGCCATACAGATTGGAGGATTCCTGGGGGAAGAGAGAGGCGGGGAAGACAGCCTCGGCTTCACTTGCTGCTTCAGAAAGCTGGATTCCACCGCCCCGGCACGGTGCATGCTCAGAACCACTCCATGCAGACTGAGCTCTCCGCAGCATGCTCTGGCTTATTGCAATGATTTGCGACTGAGGAGGAGCGGTGGGCAAAGACCCCAGCTGGAAGACAGCTCGGACTCCTGCGGGCCAGCATCCGGGGAGCGCTCGGCCAGAGAGGGGAAGCTGGTGGCACCAAAGTCAGTGGGGCTATGCATCCTCTCTGGGTTGGACTTGGCACTTTTAAAGTGCTATCCATGATGCGGAGCTGGTTCTTTTCTTTTTCGCCGGGGGTGGTGGTGGTGGTGGATAGGTTCAGCACCACGGAGAGCTCCTTTGATGCCCAGAATAAAGCCCAGGCTAGAGGCACCAGGCCCCAAACGAGCGTGAAGAGAACATGCGTCTCCTGCTGCAGTTTCGCAGCCACTTGCTTTCGAGGTCTGCAGTCTGCAAAATCCAGATGGGGCCATCACACCCACCAAGCAGAGAGTGCTGCCTCTCCAGGCAGAGCCTTCGTATAGCCCCCATGACCGGCCGTCACTGGACAGACTGCCGTGAAACCCCCACTTTTCGAGCCATCTCGTCTGGTGGCCAGGGCCACATCTTGTGGCGGCAAGTTCCACACGTTAATTATGTGTGCGAAAGAACTTTCTTGCCCCTCCTGTCTGGGTCGCGTTTATGTAGCTGTTTGCAGTGGGTGCTAGGGATGGAACCACAGGCATGCTGATCGGTTTCATCCCATGCAGAGACTAGAAGATTCGCTAGGTGTGAGGAGACAAGTTCATCAGGAGAGGTAGCGCGATCCCAGTACTCTGGACTCTGAGCTGAATATCTGCAGCTCTATTCTGTAAACCATGGGTGGCCCCGATCCCATTGCTCTGGGTCAAGGTGGGCCCTCAGTTGCCTAGGGAAGCCGCGAGAAGTAGGGAGGGCGGATTTCAAGGAATCAAGCGAACCACAGACTGGTCACTCATGCGTAAGATGTACCGTAGGAGGAACATCGCGGGCCCAGAAGGTCAGGGTGTCCCACTGCAGACTGTGCAAGAAGTCGCTCCGATGCTCCCCCAGTCCATAGAGGTACGTGGACGGAAGGGCGGTGGAAATCTGGAGAAACTGATCCGCGAAGAACACGGGAGCCACTGTTGTGTTCAGCCTAGAAAAGGAGGAAATGTATGAAGAGAAACAGATGGCCGGAAAAAGCCAAGATTAGAAAAAGAAGTGTTTCTAGTCCTTGGGACTGAAGAGAGCAGTTTTCAAATATGATAAAAAAAGGGTCATAAAGTGGAAGCAGTTAAGCACATCTGCCACCGTTGGACTGGCATCTGCTGGGTTCGTAAACATGGCAATAACCTCCTGAGGTTCAGCTGGTAAGAGGCACGGAGTCTCGCTCAAGCTTCTGCAGCACCCAGCCCAGCCTAAGGTAAACGACACAAAACCTGCACACTGAAGGATGTGGCGAACAAGTGGCATTTACAGGCCTCAGCGCGAGGCAACCAGGAAAGCCTGAAAAGCTGCAGACTGAGGGGGAGAGAGAGCTCAAAAGTACACAGTCATGGTCACTTCTGCTCTAAAACCATTTGCGAGCGGGAATCACTAGCTGATACAATGAAGGGCATTCCTGCCCGTATTAGTGATCTCTGAAATGCCACCCCAGAAGGGGCACCGCTGTTCACACCAGGCAAGCGTGTGGTTGCTAATTGACTCTTCACCCTTACGGACATCATCAGCCCACGCTAGGGGACGAGTAACTAATCGGAAACCACTGTGCCAACAGAGTAATTGCCTTGGTGCTTCCCACCAAGGAGCCGTCTAAAATACCACTCCCCACCTCTCCCCGCAAAAAGCAAAAAACGAAACAGAAGGCGCAGGGACAGCGTGAGCTGGCAAAAAGCTGTGTGTCAATTCTGCATTTAAAAATGAGCAATCAAAGGATGGCAAAGATGCTTCCAGAGAGCTGGCCTCTTGCGTTGTCCACCCAGAAACACTGGGCACCCATCCTTTCCTTAGCATTTTTTGGGGGGTGGGAAGTATAAAGATAGAAGCAGCAGCGGGAAAATATGGGAGGGCAACACATTGAAGGCGATGAAGTCTTAACCCCCCATGAAAGTTCTGCAAACAAAGCAGGGCAAAGGGTCACGCCAACAGCACTGCCTCCCCCCCCGGGCGGGAGCGGCACGTTGAAGCTGGCCTTCCGAGGGCACGGTGCGATGCCTGGATGCCCTCCCGTGCTATTTAGAGGGGAAAGCGGGTCCTTACAGCACAGTTCTGGAAGCTCTCCGCTTTACGATCAAGCCAAAGGGCTCCTTGGAGAATTCAACAGTATATGCCGGATTTTCTGCTTTCTTTTTCACCTGAGGAACGTCAAGAGGCACTTCATACCGAGGATTCACAGCATCAGTGATCTACAAAAAGAGGGCACACACGCACACACACCAAGTCAAATGGAGAGGAAAGAGACTGTGAAGGGGACGAAGCACAGGCAGCAAGCTGCGGCTGCGATCATGGCCGGCTTTCCTCAGCCCACTGCCATCTGCTACACATCTGAGTATTCTTGACCACTGACCATGCCAGCTGGGGCTGACGGGAGTTGGTCCAAAACCTCTGGGGGTGTGCGTGCCAGACGGGCAGGCTGCTTAATACCATTTGCAAGGATGTCAGGAAGTTTCTGATTGCAGCCCTTCTGAGAGCAAAGTCCATTACATTTTAAAAGAATTAGGAACGGTCGAAAGAACTGAGTAGCTTAGCCTCTGGGAAGACGAACATACAGGGAGACACATAAGGTGCCGGCCACTATCGGCAGCGCTGTCGCCACGAAGAGGGAAGTGGCCTTCCTCTCTGCATCAGCGCAGTCTAGCTGACGGCTCACTTCTTCAAGGTCTGCCTTGGCACAAAAAGGCTACATTTAATTAAATCGGCGACATGTACATTAATTATATTTTTATAGAAGTACCTCAACCAATTATCCTCTTTGATGGGTATGAACATGGTCCATCAATAAAGGATTGCACGCACCTGCGACTGAGACAGGCATGAGTGTTATTGATGTGCAAGCAACCTTACGAGGGACGCACTTGTTCGAGCAAAGGAGCATTTCCGTGCTGACAAGACAAGCATCTGTTCATACATATGCGGAGTGCAAAGCTGATGGGCACTGGCTGTCAAACCGTGCTGGCAAAGGGGGATGCGGAAATCCTGACAGTCACAACAGAAGTAGATACTGCTAAAACACGTTACTGTTGCTGCTGAGGAAGACATGTCTGGTCTTTTCACACCCTGTGGAAATCTTCATGGTTTCACTCTTCTCTTCAGGGGGAGAACAGAATTCCAATATGGAATGTTAACTGTTTGAAGGAAGAACTTGGCTCTGAAAGTACCCTATGGTCATTGATGGAGGAAAGCAACAGATGGATTTTGCTGCTACATATGATGTTTTTGTGTTTATTTGCTAGGTGCTAGATCACATCAGAGTTGCAGCCATCTTTGAAACGCTCAATTTTGATATTTTTAATATTTTGATGCCATGCTTTTATGGATTAAGTAAGACAGGTCTGATTTCTTGTGCAATTAGTTTAATGTCAAACCACATTCTAATGGGGCTAAAAGGGATTTTCTTCTGATAACAAAAAAGTGGGAAAAGGTGCAAAGACATCTGCACAGACATACACAAAATCCTGTGAGTCAGGGCAGAGCAAAAACTTGTTCAAGATGCTTCTCAAGGCACACACGGGTTTCAAGTTACACCTAGAACTGCTGAGGCCAGCAAACATACAACACCCCACTTTTGAAAACAAAGTCCAGTAGGTATGTAGAGCTTTTCTACATGATGTTATCAATTGGCCATTAATCTGCTGCTTCCATTCTTGGTTACTCACAGGCCTGAGATTCAAGCACTACCTGAGCAGCATATCCTTTCCTGCTTTTCCACTACATAATCTCTAGGTGGCTCTTGGTGAAGTGGACAAGCACAAATAGATAAGAAAAAATTACATTTTATTTCACTTTCAGACTTAACACTGCGTATTTCCTGTGCTAAAAAACTGATCAAAACTGCTTCTTAAACACAGCAAACTGGAAATTCACAGTGAACCCAAGTACCCAACTTTTTAGTGTATTTGGTCAGTCTTAATATAAGGCATGGCCTAGCCAATACTTAAGCTTGGCTTCGATCAGCAGTGAAGATTTAGAGATTCAGCTTACAGGGAATGCAAAAAAAAAAAGAAAAAAAAAGTTGAGCTTGAGAGAAACACAAAGGAAAAGAGAAAGGGCAAACCATGAAGGTGTTCTGAAAGGGGGTTTCCAAGCCCAGAGGAGGAGGAGGAAATGGATGGAACCACGACCGCTTGTGAAACGATTCCTGGTTTCATTTCAGGAAACACTGGCTTTCAACAACTTGTCCAGCCCTACGTTTAATCAGCAAACCTGTTTCGTTGCAGGATTAGAAACACAGGCAACTGTCTCGCGCTGAGTCACACTGGTGGGCCTTCTATTGCTGGCACAAGCTGCCCCCAGCCTGGCACCCCCCCCCCCCACGCCTGGACCAAAGCTCCCCATCACCCCTGCCCTGTTTTGCTGTGGTGATGGGAGTCACAGCTGAAAGCGCAACTGGAGGGCATCAGGCTGAAGAAAGCTGCCCAGCTGCCAGGGTGGGTCTTTCCCAGCCCTCCCTGGGGTGTCAGGGATGAACTTGGAAGCTTCAGCATGCAAGGCAGAGCTACTGCGCACGCCCCGCTTTTTTCAAGTGGCCTGTAAGGTAAAAGCAGGAGGACACCAGACCCCGGGAAATGACCTACCTTGACATGCAGTCGAGTATCTGTTTCCAGCTCCACGCTGAGCTGCAGTTTCTCAATGTCTCTTGGGTAATAGGTCGGTGTCTTCCTCGTTAAAAAGCCCTCCATCCCCTTCTCAGTGTCGTTCATGCTTCCCAAGGAGTAGCTGGGGAAGTCTGGGGGGTAGAAGCACCAAGGCACCCCGTCTGCGCTGCCCGCGGGCTGGTCTGTGCTGATGAAGCAACACCCACGGCCCTCACACAGTTCTCGGGTCACCACTGTGCTTCTCTCCGGGTAGCAGTCAAAGCGAAGGTTTTCGGGAATGGAGACACACTTCTCCAGGGGTGGTGCTTCGTGCTGGACCCACCAAATCTGCCCAAGGACCCAAACAGTCACGCCACTCAGCAGGGCTGCCACTGTCAGGAGACCCCCGCCGAGCCACCAGGCGGACAGCTTCTGGTGACACAACGGCTTCCCGTCGGCAGTCTCATCCCCAGCCTCCGAGGCCTGGGGGACATCCACTCTCAGCTTCTGATACGATTTCATTTTTTGCACACTGGATGAAGAAGAAAAAGAAGGAATACTCTGCTGCTGCAATTCTCAGATTCACAGCCATGGGAGACGAATAAATACTCCTCCTCCCCGGCTGCCTAGCCTGGACCACTTCAGTGCCCTGTGTGCAGGGTGCTCTGCCTGGGAAGAACATTTGCCCCGAAATGCCGCTGCTGGAGGGCCAACTGGGGTGGCTGCACCGGACGCACGGAGCGGCTTCCGAGCACGGCGACTGAGTCGCGGCCGGTGGGGCTGCTCGCGTGCTTTCAGTCCCAGGGGTGTTGTGAAGCTTCAAGGCCAGTAAGACTTAAGACCCAGGCATCTGAAGGGCCCCCCGTGCATGAATGAACCCGCAGGAAAAGTGAGGCCGCCTTCTGCGGGCTTCCCCTGGGTATTCCCCGCAACTCCAGCACCGTCTTCTGCGCATCTATTAAAGGTACAGGAGACCTGTCCTTGGCATCTGGCTATCCTGCATGTTGCAGGTTTCAAACACCCCCCCCCCCCCCGCCCAGCTCAGCGGCTTTGTTACGGTGTCTGTTCCCAATGCAATGGTCAAAGTGGCCTTCCCCAACCCAGTGCTGCAGGCAACAGACCCGCCCCAAGCCATTCCTCCATGTGCCTCCCCTTGATAAGGTCATGGCAGGAAGGGATACAGTTCCCTCAGCTTGCATCAGTTGGATGACTGTACCGTAAAGCTCCTAAAAACAGCTCCCATGTTTGAGTGGGTTTTTTTAAGGCCTGCCTACTAAGAGTCAGCAGAATTAGGGGCATGGAAGAAATGTATTGGAATCGATGGCCTCAACTCTCTCTCTCTCTCTACACAGCTGTTGTGTTCTTCCATGTTTGTCCAAGGCTTACCTTGTTGATGCTGCTGCAAGTCTCCAAAAGTCTTCTGCTTGCTTAGTCACCAACAGTTGGAGGGGGAAATGAGGGGGACTGTCACCCTGTGAAAGAAATTAGAGTTGATTAATCAAATAAGTTTCATCTTATTCAATCTGCCTCTGGAAGTCATGCAAGAACAAGGATTTGGCATTTAAAAAAACCTTTGTAATATCATCTTTGTATATTTTAATACTGTGTTTTATTCATTTGTTATTATTTGCCACTCCAGAATCTAGTTCAATATGGAGTGGTTAGCTTTAGTTGGTGAGGGAGAAGTGATGCTCTATCTTTCTAAGATACAGGTTTTTTTAAGGAATTGCATTTCAAATAATTCCTTTAAGACCAAAGAAAAAGGTGTTTTTTTAGTGCATTGCTCTATCCCAAACTTCCATGGATGGGCCAGACTACAAGTCCCATTGTCCCCAGACAGCATCTGCAGCTCATCAGGTCAGGAAAGGCTGATGAACCAATCTCTTGATGAAAAGTCACAGCTCTAGTGAAAATGGGGGTGAAAATGATAGGTTAAGGGGACATCCACCAAGAGATAAGATTATAGAATCACAGAATAGTAGAGTTGGAAGGCTCCGGGGGTGGGGGAGGGGGTCCACGCCCTGACAAGTTAAGCCATCCCTCTCAGACGGCTGTCCAGGTGAATGCACGTTCAGTCCTAGGTCTACTCAGAAGAGAGTCCTGCCGAGTTTAATGGGGCCAGGCTGCAATCGTAAACCCACTTCCGATGGAGCAAGTCCTAAGAAGATGATACAATTTGCCCCCAGATAAAGCCACACGTGGTTGCTTCGTCACTCCTATGCAAGTCCATTTAGGGCCGCAGTGGAAGAGACTGAGAGGGCCGTGGCCCAGGCGGTTCTCCATCTGCAACGTGGTAATAAAGTACTGGCCTACCTTATGGAGATGCTATTAGGGGAGTTACCATAGTAACGTATGTAAAGTGCTTTGAACACTTGGAATATGCTATAAAAAGGTAAATATCGCGCAACGACGAGCGGGACACTCATCCAGCCCGCCAAGCACGACTTCAGCAGTGTCTGGTTTTATGTCCTTCCAAAGCTTCTTTACAAAAAACAAACAAGCGAACATCTTCATACCATACATCTCTCTCTGTCCTGGGTCACTTAGCCAAGACACTTGGTTTTATTAGGTGCGTCATCTTATGCAGGTAGGTAGAAAATAGTCTGAGCATTTGATGTTGGCACTCTGTTGTTATTTTCTCCATGTATTAATACGGTTACTATTAAACACTGTGATTTATTTGATTTAGGGTGTGATCCTATAGGACTTGAGAGAGGAAAAAAATACCTCCCACAACTCCCAGCATTCCTTTTCTGTCCAAACCTGCAAAGAACTGTCCTCTTAACACATTTTTATTAACGGACTGTAAGGCAGTTTGGCTTTGACAAAACATAGCTCAGTCGTCGGGTGTTGAGGTTCGGCGCATCCACTCCCTCCCTTCTCCTTTTCACATGTCCCAGATCCCTTCATAGCTCCTCATTTGCTATTAAGCATGCCAATCCAACAATGTATTCTTTACTCGCAACACGAATCCACTGAACACCGTGGTTCCCAATCCGAATGGGCAGGCCTGCTGGGGTACACAAAGACCCCCATTTCTTGGTTCAGATGAGAAGGCATACTAGTGCCCTGAGAGAAGGGAGAGGTGAAGCGGAGCCATCCCACCCCATGCTGCTGAAAAACAGCTTCTTTCCTCTACCCTTCCCATTCTCTTATCTTTGTGTGTTGGGTCTTTTTAGTTTTCCAGCCGGTAGACAGAAGCTACCTCCTTTTATGCATCGGATGTAAGCTGCTCCAGCAGCTTACAAACCACAAGGCTGGGACAGAATCCAGACACAGAAGGCACGGAGGGTGGGTGAGGAGAGAGCATCTTAGCCTTACTTTGGACCGACTTGCCAAGTAATAGTGTGCCGTCACATCCAGACTGGCTTTATCTCGTCTTTCAAAATTCAGTACAGACCAGCAATGTTCTCAGATTCTTCTTATGGAAAACAGATATTGCTGAGGTAGTATTAACCGCTTTGAACATTTTGAAGGGTTACACAGACATGTACACTCCCTGGATTCCAATGTCTTATACTTCTAAGGGTCATTGCCTTCCATTCACAATTATTCTAAACTAAGAGAGCAATCCTATGCCTTTTCAGAGTGGAAAAAGCCCGACAACTATTAGACTGATTTCTGCCCAAACATGAATAGGATTATACTAGAAGGCTTCAATCCTATGCATGCCCACCTGGCGCTAAGCCCCACTGAGTGGAGAGGGAGCGATTTCCATGTGGACCTGCAAAGGGCTGCAGTCTAAGGTCAGTGGAGTTTCCTCTCGACCCTGCCCAGGTCTGCAGTACAAAATGGGCAACAGGGAAGTCCCATAACCAGGTGGAAATCCAACACTGTCAAGCTTGAGTAGAACTTGCTCCTGTTTTCAGTCAAAGCTCTTGAACCGTTTCACTCCTTTTTTGTGGGCTTTGCTCTGTTACGATAAACATACACCAAGTCCTTGTTATGTTTTACTTCAATGCAGAGAAATGGAAAACGAAACTTCTTTTGGGCTTGCCCGCTGTGGCAAAAATCCAGACCATCAAACAAAGCAAACATGTAGCATCTCTATCTTACCACCCGAACAGTGGATTCTTTTGAAAACTTCTGTGTGCGTGTCTAAACACACTGTAAGGCTGGGGGCATTGCCATAACACAGAACTGCAAACAGATGCCTGTAGAGATGTTTATTTAAGGTTGCAGTTCTAGGCATGTTGAGATAGAAAAAAGTCCTACACCTCCCACCTGAGAGTTGAGGGACTTTCTTGCTGTCTAAACACACAGAGGATTCTAACTTTTTCTTTAAGAGCCTTCTAAGCCACTTTTCAATTTAAAAAAATCTTCTCAAAACAACATGTAAAAAGTAGGAAATATATCTCAGTACAACTATTGAAACGTACGTTTTAAGCGATAAAACAGAAAAAGTGCTCAGGATAATTGATATTCCGTAAATCCTATGAGTTTGTCCATCATAGCTATTGTTTTTAATTCATTTCTTACCACATGTTTAAAAAGACTGACCTTCCTGCTTCCCCTTCATCAGATACACCCATGTTATTCTCTGCTGGCAGGATAACATGAAAGCAGACATTTCTTCATCTGATTCTTTTTATTCTGCTCCCCTTTCGCAGGATATTGACCACAGGATGAATCCGCATCAGCAGCTCTGTGCTAGGAGTTAAGACTTTTTCTGTTTAAACATGCATGGGCCTGCACTGTAAATCATATGAGGGCATTAACTAGTCATTATAAAAAAGTAGAAAAGATGAAACCGTGATGAGGAGCTACATCTAACCTCAGCAACCCATGACCTATTCATTCATTTTATTTATATTTCTATCCCGCCTTTTCCCTACTTGGAGACTAGGGCAGCTTGCATAAGCCACCTCCTTTGTTTTAGCCCATCAACACCCCTGCTGCATATCCTATGCTGAGCCTTAATGACTGGTGCAAAGTCACCCGGTGAGCTTCATGGCCATACAGGGACTGGGAAGCACATCGCCCAACTCCCAGGCCAACATTTACACCAAACCCACCAAGTGACAGCCAAAGGGCGATTGAAATAGATGTATCTGAATGGCTCTGTGAAAACTATTTATCCACATGAATCTATTTATCTGTTTACCCTTCTTCTACCCCTTTGTTATCCCTTGCTTTTGAGAGCCAGCGTGGTGTAGTGGTTAAGAGCATAGGACTGGGACTCAGGTGATCCGGGTTTGAGTCCCCACTCAGCCATGGAACCAACTGGGTGACTTTGGGCCAGACATAGACTCTCAGCCCAACCTACCTCACAGGGTTGTTGTTGTGGGGATAAGATGGAGGAGATGTAAGCTGCCTTGAGCCCTTTGTAGGAAAAAGGCAGGATATAAATCGGAAAATAAATAAAAAAATAAAAGTGAAAGCCTGCAGTTTGCTTACTTGCGAAAAGCCCCAATGGATTCAGTAAAGGTCTGAATGGCCGAGGACAAGATTGCACGAAGAGACCCTCAATGAATGGGCATTCTCTGAAAAGGACTGTGAATCATCATCCACCCTCAGTGGACGGTGCAATCTTTATTTATTTACGTATCACATTTATTTCCCAAATTATTTCTCCTACCCAAGGAAGCTCACAAAATCCTTTTTCTTCTCTCCATTTGATCTGCACCACAACCCCGTGAGGTGGGTTAGGCTGGGGATTCGTGACTGTCCCAAAGTCACCCAGTGCCAAGTAGGGGCCGGAACCCACCTCTAAGGGCAGGGCGCGAGGTGGGGTGAGCAAGGGAGCAGCGGTCCTTTCGGCGCTCGGCTTGCTCAGAGGCTGAGTCACCGTACCTATTCGAATTTCATGGCATTCATGATAGGGCGGGAGAGCCTGCCTTCATTCGCTCCGTTAGGAGCCACTTCGGTTTTTCGCAGAGGAAAAACGGGATACAGTCACCGGACCCATGACTGGAATGGCTGTACCGGCAAGTGCAGACCACGGGCGGCCCTGCGCTCCCGCGCCCAAGGAACTCCGGCGGTCCCGCGCCCCGCGCCGCCTGCGCTCCGCCAAGGGATGAATGGGGGACCCCGCGCCCCCCCCGCCGCCGCCGCAGGAACAGGCCGCCCCGAGTGGGCGTGGCCTCGCCCGGGAGGAAAGTCGGGACCCGAGCGGGGAGACGCGCCTCCCCCGCCCCCTCCTCATGCACCCCCCTCTCCTCGGATGACGTTTGCGGCGGTGCGCCCACAGAGCCCTGATTGGCCGGCGGCCTCAGCCTCGCGAGGAAGAGGGAGGGGCCTGCCGCGTGCTTGTTGCTGTTTCTCCCCCCCCACCCCGCCCCATCATTCTCCCCGGTGGGAGGGGGAAGAGGCGGCGCGCGCGGGGAGGAGAACTTGACTTTCACTCACTCGCGGCACGCGCGCCAGGGCGGAGGCGAAAGCGAGGCTGCTGAGGGGGAGCGCGCGCTCGCGCGGGCGCGTGCGCACGCCCCTGAACGTCCGCCTGGCCGTTGGGGCTCGGCCCGCCGTTGTCGCCGCCGGTGGCTTCGCCTCACACGGTCCTCGTCGCTTCACAGAAACGCGTCGCCCCGCGCTTTCTTTTCTTTTTTTTAATTGTTCGATTTTTTTTTTTTTTAAGGGGGCGGGCGGGCACGCGCTCCACCGACGCCGCCGCCGTTGGCCGCCTGACCCAGGTAAGAAAGCGGCGCGCGCGGAGACACTGCCCGCCTGTGAGGAGAATTCGGCTGGACCGCTGAGGCGAGGGAGGTCGGGATTGGGCCCGTGCTGGCCGCGCGCTCGCGCATGCGTGCGGGGATGGCAGGCGGAGGGCGGAGCCTAGTTGGGGGGGTGTGCGAGAGAGCAAGAGAGAGGGGAAGGAATTTGCTGAGTCATTCTCTAGCCCCGCACGTGGTGGACGGAGAAGCGGGGCGGCTCGAGATCGCGGACCGAGGGGCAAACGTGGGCGCCTCCGGACGGCGGGGCAGTAAATTCCAGCATCCTTGGCTGTGTTGGGTGGAGGTTTTGGGAGCTGTAGTCCAAAAGCACTTTTGGGGAGAGGAGCAGGTGGCGCTGTTCGAAAATAAGGCCCCTCGATGGCCAATTGGAACTGGGTGGTTTGACCGTGCTTTTCCATTTTGAAAGCTGCATCGGTTCCCAGTTCGGTTTCTGGGATCCCTTCGAAAGTCTAATTTTAACCTAAAACATCCTGAATTTACTGCGTGCACTGCGTGAGGTGAGGCGGGAAGCTGCCAAGTAGGCCTTTTTAGTGGTGGCACTCTGGTTGCAGAACTACGTTTTCATGGAGTTTCTCCTGGCATCAGGTGCCTTATCAAGGGTCGACACAGTCAAGCCCAGACTGCAACAGGAGCTTACTGACAGGAGTCCCTGGGCTTTTGCTAAGGCATGCTGCTTGGTCACCGACCTCTCACTCTGGCCCAGACAACCCTAACCAGGAGGAGGAGGAGGTGGAGCAGCAGCAGCTACCACAGCCAACGTGCTCCCCTGCTCTCCCCTTGTTTTACAAGCAAGTAGTAGCCATGATTAGAAAGGATGAAGAGGGCTCTCAGAAACCTGGAGCTGGCACTACCTGGCCGCATTCTGCACTTAGATAAAGAACTTTCTATTTGCCCATTTGCTTTAAATGATTTAGATAGTCTGGGTTTTTCAGTTTAGTTTAGTTTAGTTTTTTAATTGGAGACTTGTGTGATTTTTATTTTGCTGTTACATTTTATGTTCTTGATGTCATGGCCTTATCTTTTGTATTTAAGTCTTTATATTTGCTTTATTCTAACCTGCACAATAACTTTGTTATGAATGGCATATAAATTTACTGGGCACGAGGGTGGGAGGATTGCAGGATCATTCCCCATTTTCAGCCTTCAATGCATAAAAGCCATACTGGTCCATCCATCATTCTGTCTACACA